ACGCTGGGGGAAATTTAAGTACATTTCTCGTTGTACATTAATGGAGTTAATGTACTTAATTTATGCGACTTGTAATTAAAACTGAAATTTGTACTTAAAAGTAATTAAATCAAAACATTTCCGACGCTCGTAATTAAAGTAATTAATCATGTAGTTAACTGTAATTATTGTACTTAAAAAAGGCTTGCGTAGGAGTTAGAGATTATTGCGTGCCCCTCGAGCGGAGGTCAAGAAATTGGCCTTAAGCCACTTGATTACAGTAGACGTTAGCTAAGTGGAAAACCTTGGACTGAAACAAATACTCATACTCATACCTTTAAACTTCCATTTCCTACATTCCGTTTCCACAACCTACTTCCAAGCACACAATGAGCTTACCAGTAAACTTACTTATTTCCTCATGCCACCACACCAGAAGCCCACAACTAGGTCATAAAAACGTAAGCTACGACGGTCACTCATGCTCACATAAGAATGTATGACAGAGCATGTGTAGAGAGAAAAAGAGAATCGTACGATAAGCTAGGCGTAAGCATTATCTTGAAGTGTAGCTGAAGTACTAGAATATAAGATTTAAAATATGAGTGAAATAAACAACTAGAGTGATTCTTGGTCAATTCTTGTCGTGTTTGTACTGAGTGTTCCATTTGGTGAATTTTCACTTAAATTTGACAGATGTTGTATTTCCTTTGCTTGAAAATTCCCGGTTTTTCCCGGATTTTCCTGGTAAAACAAAATTCCCGACATTTCCCTTGTTTTCCTGGTTCACTTGCCACCCTAAGTCGGTTTTCCAAGAAATATGTATACCCTACTTTGTAAGAAGAGTAAAAATGTCAATATTAAATATTCAGAAGTTTCAGATCCTTCGATACACAATTCTGAATCATCATGATACAAAGTTAAACCGAAAATAACCGAAATGGCTAGTACAATGCCCAAAAATTTAAGGTCATATGAAAGAACCAGTGGGTCGCAAGGCGATTGGAAAACAATTTGTTGGTAGTTTTATCTCAGATTCGAAAGCATGTAATTTAATTTTTTTTTATTTATGTTGCAGAAATTTTAAAACACTTGAATAAGTAAAGATTTAGCCAGAGTTTCAGAATTAATTGGTAAAATAGAGCCATTCTTTTCCAGAAGAAATAAATTCTATTTTAGATGCATAGTTTCCATTAGTTATACGGCTTTTTTTTTGGGATTCAATTATTCATAAGTAGTTCAAATCGTCTTCCGATCCAGATGTTATGTGGGAGGAATTCCTTTGAATTTCTGTTCAACCATTTTTGATCTACTCTTCACGCAAATCTTCTAAAAAATTCTTCGGAATACTTTGGAATTATTTTCAGAATTGTCTTGTCCTCAATTTTTTATTTAATTACCTCTGCATACAGTTCATTTGGCATTTTTCTCTAATTTTTCAACTAATGGCTATTGGGAGCCAGCATAGAATTAAAGTCGTTGGTCTCGGCACATGTGTTTTGAATGAATGGGTGCGATATCCTACGCAGGTGTGGAAGCTGCCTTCCTGCACATTCGATTGCCGTCAATGGATGGCAATCGATGTCCGTCGGTGATTGGCACTAGATTGCGGAACAGAGACCGACGTTAAATAAAGAAATGAATGAACATGATATGCATTTTAGTTAGCGATTGTCCTTTGGTTGGTGAAAAGTCGACACAACTTAGCGAACGTTGAATATACGTAATGGAATAACTATTTTACTTCCGTTTTTTTTTTCAAACCAGTTTAGTTTGCATACGAAGCATATAATTTGAAGTATTTCACTTAATACATTTATAATATACTTAAGACATTTCTCTCATGGGGACGACCCCGTTGTAGTGGTAAGCATCCATACCTCTCACGTCAAAGTCATGAAATCAAATCTCATCCCCGGACAAGTCACGAATGATCCAAGAGCGTTAAAGTTACTGAAAAAAACATTTCACTTATGTAGAAGAATTAAAGGAAATCTGCAAAACTGATAAATTTAAAGCTTTGTTCAAAAACCATGAATTTTTATAGTAGATACCTGGAAAACCGGGAAAAACCCAGGAATTTGAAATCAAAAATTCACTTGCCACCCTGGTTAAGTGTCATATACCAATCGACTCATCTCGACGAGTTCAGATAACGTATGTGTGTATGTATGTATCGAAAAAAGTTCTAAGACGTGTTTCTCGGCAACCACTGAAAAATATCCTTAAAATATTAAAAAGGCAACCACTTAACGGAATTCGATGCAACAATCACCAAATGAAAGGTTCCATGGAACGCTTTAGAATATTTTTCGAATCGGTCAACTGGCTCAAGATGTATGGACGGATCAAGAACCAAAAACGCGGATTAAAGGAACTGTGTTTCTCAACAATCACTGAACCGAATTGGACAAAACAACCACCAAATGAAAGGTTCCATTGTCGAATAAAACATGTTTAACTATTTTTGTACAATCGGTTAACTGATTCCGGATAGATGAATGGAAATAAACACCCTAACAAAAATTCAAGCTGGTTAAGAGCCATTAAAAATAGAAGTAGCAAGCCCTTATTCAACTTTCAATGTTTGTTGAGATATTTGTTTCATTGGTTTTTCCCGGTTTTCCTATCCAATTTCCGGGATTTTCCCGGATACTTTTCAAATTGCCGGTAACATTTCCCGGTTTTCACTGCTTTTCCGGTTTTCCCGGTTTGTTGGCTACTCCACTTTGAAATTACGTAGACTTTATTGCAATACAATGAACTAGTATTTGACAGTGTATGTAAATATCCCAAGTAACAATTCAGTAACCATTTGGCATCCACTCTGATTTATGATGGTTTTATAACGACAATGAACAATCCATTAAGTATAAATACAGCATTTCGAAGTGTAACATTCCTGCTAAATAACTTAGCTTTTTACTGTTTTATATTCTGCCAAGAAAGTAAAAAACTGTCTTGTTTTAAAAATAAATTCAAAACAGTTCTCAATCCATCCTTTAAACTGCTCTGTAATTCAAGCATAAACGTCATTAGCAATAGTTTATTTATTATTGATAACATACTTTATAAACGTGTTCCATCATTATTAAAGCAACCGTAAAACCATTAAATAATAACCATTGCTTTAGAGCAAAAAGTATTTATTGTTGCTTTTTAGGCTTTTTAAAGTGCAATCCAATTCCTCTGTTTACAACCTGAGCTTAAAAGATGGTAATGAAAGCCAAATTTATGACAAGAAAATCTCGAAGGATAGACAAAGTAGGATGAAAAATTCAAGTCGATTTGAGCAAAATTCACTTCTTTAGAAGAACCAGCACATCATAAACGACTGACCATCTGGCGGAGAAGAGTAAAGTGAGTAAACCCTCGAATTCATAAAACATTGTCGACAGTTGAAAAACATACCAGCCTTCTTCAGATCTTGCGAATATATGACATTCGAAATAACAACCGACAGCAAACCTCTGAAACTGTTAGTTAGCGGAGATTAGTTGGTTTCCGATCCATAGCAGCAATTTTATTCGGCAAAAGAATCAACGCTTCGAAAATTTCATTCAAGCGTACATCCCTGCATCGGTGCACTTCTGAAACCATCCGGAAGAAGGGGATCTTTTTCGGTTTGAAATGCGAAATGTTGCAAAACAGTATCGCAAACTATCTGAGTAACTGCTCACAATCCATCGGGAGAAAACTACCTGGAAGAACCCTGGATCGCACAGCGCAACTAAATATCGAAACAACTTTGACTGCAAACTTTGACGTTTAACTTTTTTGCAGGCAACTTTGCCTCCATAAATGCTGCCATAAATATGAACGGGTTTTTTTTATGCTCTTTGGATTGGTGGCTTCTGATGGCAAAAAATTGACCCGGTGTTCATTCCAGAAAACGACAAGGTCAACACGGAGGTCTACATCGGGATTTTAAGTAAGTATATTCTTCCGTGGATCAAGGTACAGTACGGTCCGTATCTTCCGTTCTGGGCGAAGGATATGTGGCCGCCATCCAGCCCCGATCTGAATCCGCTGGATTACTCAATATGGCGCGTCATGAAGGTCAAGGCCTGTTCTTAACGCCACCCAAGTACAGTAAGCCTCAGACAAACATTGACCCGTACCTGTAGAGAAATGGATCCAGACTACATTATTAGAACCTGCCGTGCATTCCGGAAGCGTGTGGAGGCCTTAATTGTAGCAAGTGAAAATTCGATCGATGATTGAAATAGTTTAAGACTCTGAAAAACATCCCCCCTTTAAATAAGTAAAGAAACTCGAAGACGAAATTTTTTAGATTTATATTAATTTTGACATTGCTCAATGGTGCAAACATTGTCACGCGTATGGTATTCAAGTCTTAATGAGGTTTTGATGGACGCATTAATGACAAAATAGCCTTGACCAGAGTTTTATGAATGTTGTTTTATAGTTGCTTTGTAGTATTTCATAAAACTTAAAATGTTACTTGGGATGTATTGTAACGCGTGGTAGTCAAATATGTTTTGTAACTATGACACTTTTTTGTTGGACTAGGAACGGTGGTGACTAATTTAAAAAAGGGGGCATAGAGCTTAAAAGGGGGCATAGAGCAAAAACCGCTGGTTTAGTATATTGGCCTTTGATAATTGTTTTTTGTTTACTCTCCCGAAAACACAATCGTTTTATTGTTTTATGCAGTCTTGGTAGCTTCTAAATTTGTACATCCCAAAAATAAATAAAATTACGAGTGACATTAGAAAAAAAATAGAGTAACAGTTCATTAAGGTTGCAAAGAAGTCTAATCAATCGTGTATCTTCATAATTGAAGAATCATCGATCCGATTATAACAACACTCCACCCTCCCGTCAACATGGTAATAAATTGTCTTTCATCTTAATTTCAAGAACCATTTCCATTTCACCTTCGCGATATCAGCTCATCTTCAACCGATAAGTTAACTTCACAGCCAACATCACCTTCAGTCACTGTTCACTACAACTTTGTTTCGATATACGCAAAGGTACGAACCGTCTTCGAAGGCAAACAAAAATATCACCTACAATCACTCTTCTTCTAACAAGGGATGACATTAACCAGCAACTATAAGTCACGATTCGGAACAACCGATAGTATCAAGTACCGAAAACCACTATTTAGCTTACACCTTTCGCGTCGCGTCACCGTTATCAAAAACGTTATCAGAGCAGCGAGGTAAGGTTGATAAAATTGTAGACTGACTCTTTCCCATCACCTTGCTTGCTTTAGGGGCGATGTTTTCACTCAACGCATCAACAATAACAACATCACCGCTGAGTGACAGCTAACCGCACTCTACACGCTCGATGCATCTCGTGTGGGGCCGTTGAATCACTAACCGGCTAGTGATCGCTCGGTTGGTGTCCCACACCTTCACGCGTACGGATTGAATTGAATGGAACCGCAAACGGTACGAGTGATTCCAGCATGAGCAAATCCCACCGAAACAGCTGATTCACGGTTAAAGTTTTGGAATACTTTCAATTTCACGGGACAACGATACACTCCGCGTGGTTGACGAGTTTGGAAGTATTATAGTAACTGGTACGCTTTGATTGACACTATTCCACGCCCATGGCGTAACGAACCGCAGACCGTGTGCCAAAACTGTCCACAGCAGTAATGCAAATCGGCCTCGTCTGTTAGTGTAGAAACTGCTGGCTCTGTCAAATGGTATGTATCACTTTTCAAAACAAACCCATCAATTGTCTTCAATTTCGATAAATGATATTGCAAATAACACGAACATTCAAGTCAATTTTGGGGATCATTAGTAATTTACGAATTCGATTCTAGAGTATGTCTACGATAGATGGAATTACTACACTACAACCGGCACCGCCTTCATTCAACTACTCAGTTTAAAACAAATATCGACGAAAAAGCTCGCCAGACACTTACAGAGAACACAGGAGAAGTGTAAAAGCAGAAAGAGAAAAAGTCAACAAATATGGTTAATAAAAAAAGCCGTCTTTACCATGAAGTTTACTGTGCAGTTATTGCGATGATGTAATGGAATCGCGACGATGTCCGACTAGTGACGGCCAACGGTGACGGGGAAGATGACGATCAGTGGCGGAGAAGGAGCACGCGCGCATCGTTCTCTTGATTTTTTGTTTTCATTAGCGACCATGTGCGATCATTGCAGCACACTTGCATAGGTAGGGGTAAGCGGGGCAGTACGCGTCAATTGACACCAATACAAATCGACGAATAACACGCCAACTCGACAACTGGTTGGCAGCACCCTCTCAGATTCCAGTGAAACTTCCTAGGTGTAAATACTTAGTCTACTTAACCAGCTCTGCATACCAAGAAAATAATCTAGACTAGAAATAATTTTAAAAAATAATTATATCTATACATTGTCCCTCATGTCGGCCTAAGTGTCCATAATGGTCCCAATATTACCACATATAGATCAATATATAAAGCAGGAAAGCATTTTTTGACAGCAACTAGCAACCAAAAATATCCATTTGTAATGGCTATACGACACATTGTTCTACGAAAAATCTAAAGACAGCATATTTTTATCGATGGACCCAATCTTTAAATCCATAGGACAACATTATAGCCATTTTCCCTATAAATCATTAATTATAAGATTATTTTTTTTTTAGCCGGCGCCGGTGGTGTAGTGGTAAGCGTGACTGCTTTCTAACACCCCAATGGGTCTGGGTTCAATCCCAGCCGAGGTCGGTGGGATTTTTCTGAGGCATAAAAATCTCTGGTCACGTCTTCCTTCGGAAGGGAAGTAAAGCAGTTGGTCCCGGCCCATGTGTGTTGAATGGGTGCGATATCCTACGCAGGTGTGCCTTCCTGCACATTCGATTGCCGTCAATTGGCACTAGATTGCGGAACAGAGACCGACGTTAAATAAAGGAATGAATGAAGATTATTTTTTCAAGAGAGATATTTAAACTATCTTCAACTCGTCCATACATATCAAGATGAACTCTTTTAAATAAAAACAGATTGCTAACAAGGGGCTATTCATAAACTAGGTAGACCGATATTAAAAGGTTTTAGATCCCCTCCACCCACGTTGACGGAACTTTGTATTGACCGTAGACGCTCTGAAACCCCCAAAAACTACTACATATTTTATGAACAGCCCCCAACAACATTTTCATATCCACACTGAACAAGCTCATTTCATCCAAAAACGTCTATGACTGACAGCACCCACCCAGATTTAACAACACTATTTGGTCGTGAAAACCTTTGCCTAGTTAAGCATCTATGCAAACTTGTCTCGTAATGCGTGTAGATCATATTTTCGTGATCCGTTACTGGTATAAGATGTACCACATTTAGCTCTGACCCTAAACGCTTCTTCTTGACGATCGAATATCACATATTTTGATTGATGAGAAGGCACGTATTTGGAGAGGTTCCCGAACAATTCAAATGATAGGAGAAAGTGAAAACTAGAGTTGGCCTAGCTCAATCGATTCTAAATCAGCTCCTGATCCATCCCCCACAATTTTAGTTTATTTTTTATGCAAATTCACACTGCACTGGCCATTACAAGCTTACAAGGGAATTACTATGGGAAAAGGGAACTTTTTGATCACAACGTTATAGCACTTCGCCACAATGATTTACGGCAAAGCTTGCTATTATATTATGTGAAATTTGTATCAGCTAAAACATTACTGACGATCATTTTTATGGGATTTTACTTTTCTGACCTGTAATATTTTTTTTTATTAATGAGTTATAATAAAGTATTAATAATAATTTACTTGTACAATTGTTTATCTCTACTCTTCCTAACACAATGATAACAAATCAATAACATAATGATGATTATCTCATCACGATCCATTTTCTCCCATAGTATCTTCCAAACCTAGGGGTTGTCAACTAGAGTATTTTCGATTCATCTACCTGACTTGAAAAGCTGTATTTTGTATTTATTCATATTTATGTATTTTGAAGTAAGTATTTTCGTGGAATTTTTGAGAATTTTATAAGGTATTTAAGTTCCAACGTGTACACATCTACGTATTTTTTGTGTATTTTCCAAAGCGTGTATTTACAATTCAGTTGATTTTGAAGTTGATCGCCCTTCGTTCCAAACCGTTACGATTGTCCGAGGGGTCGTCGAATGGAATCACTCGTCGGAACATTTTCCCTATCGTGTCGCTTGAACACTGCTTCAACGTCACCATCTCCGACAATCTCTGCTCTGACTACAGCATCTCCTCGAATCTCTGCATCGACTTCCGTATCACCATGAACATCAAGAACTGCACATCTGGCCTAGCGCACTACTCCATTTTGCCGGGATAGGTGCGGATCACACGACCTCGGAGCCACTGGTTTCGGACCCCTTTGTCTGCTATCAAAACTAGCGCATCATCCTTAATTGGTGCGATGGCTTGCGACGGTATATTTTTGGCATATTTATTTCAATCCTTCAATACCATAACCGTACGCTCGCACCTTAAGCTGGGTTTAGACAAGGCAAGTCAAATAATCAACTCAGTTGAATTCAATTGGCTTGAAATTTTCAGCCTGGTTCAACTTTTTTCAATTCAAGGGATTTGATCAAGTCAGTTGAATGGCATGGTTTCAACTGACTTGATCAATAGACTGTCTAAGCCCAGCTTTACGCTTAACTCCACTCATTAGGTTTTGTACAACATCTGGCTGCAGCTTCTTCTGTATGGAAACCCACTTTTTCTTCATGTCTTCCTCAGATATAATCTTCTTGGGATGCTTCCGTAGTGCCTGCTTCATAATAGCCCAGTTTTTTTTCGATTGGACTTAGTTCCGGTGCGTTGGGGAGGGGGGAGGGGGGGTTCATATCCTTGGGTATGAAAGTGACCCCGTTGGCTTCGTACCACTCCAGGACAACATTTGAATAGAAGATCCTAGGGCCCACGCATAACTTCAACACAGGAAGCAGACTCTTCTATAGTCACTTCTTGAGGTATATCTCCCCGTTTACAGTCCCGGTAGTCACGAACGGCGCACTTCGTTTGTACATGAGCAGATCGCTTGCCAAATCATGTATTTCTTGGCAATCTTTGAAAGTTTCTGCTTCCGGGGGAGAGGTAGCTCATCGATTCTTTCGGTTTGCCTCCTAGCATCGTGCTATAAGGTACCAGGCGATAACCAGGGTAGTTGATCGATAGCTCGATGACGTCATTTCGTTGGCGTCTGCAATGGGAAATTCTCATAGCAGGCGTTGACGATGGGACGTTGTCGAGTTGTCGTGGTAACTCACCGATTACCTGTCGATCTGCCAAATTTGGAAAGACGTCTGCATTGAATTATCTCAAATAATAATATTTCGCCCACTATATCAAAAGAAATTGCAGGTAGCTGAGTGGAATGGAGATAAGTTAAGCATTGGGTACAGGACCAAGTCTCCCCTGGGTGGTGCCAGAAGATGAGCGCAATAGAATCATCAAGTTGCCATAAGGCACGGAATGAGACTATTGCATGGCTGGGTAAAGGGTGATACGGTCAAAATTTGGTCAAGGGAAAACGCGTGTAAATCGGTGAAATCGTTTTTTTAAAAAATCAAATTAAATTTCTTTTTCAAGTTCAATTAGTATAAAATTCAGGAAAAATATTCAGTTAGGCTTCCGCTTTTCCAAATCCGAATTGCCGGGCCTTACGCTTGACCCCTGCCATCAGATTTTGTACAGCCACCTTGTCCACCTTCTTCGCCGCAGAAAGCCAGTTTGCCTTGAACTGCTGCTCGCCCTTAGCAGTTTTTTTGGTCTTCTTTAGGTTCCGCTTGACAATAGCCCAGTATTTCTCAATTGGGCGGAGCTCTGGCGTGTTGGGAGGGTTCTTGTCCTTGGGAACCACCTGCACGTTGTTGGCGGCGTACCACTCCATGGCCTTTTTACCGTAATGGCAAGATGCCAAATCCGGCCAAAACAGTACGGAACAACCGTGTTTCTTCAGGAAAGGCAGCAGACGTTTATTCAAACACTCTTTCACGTAAATTTCTTGGTTGACAGTCCCGGAAGCTATGAAAATGCTGCTTTTCAAGCCACAGGTACAGATGGCTTGCCAAACCAGATATTTCTTTGCGAACTTTGACAGTTTCATGTGCTTGAAAACATCTGCTACCTTTCCCCTTCCTTTTGCCGTATAAAACTCGTAGGTTTCGTCGTCCATTACCACGCAGTCAAACTTCGTCAGCATCGTCGTGTACAGCCTCCGGGATCGCGCTTTGGCCGTCGTATTTTGTTTATCATCGCGATTTGGAGTCACTACCTTCTTGTAAGTCGATAGTCCGGCCCGTTTTTTGGCTCGATGCACGGTTGTAGACGATACACCCAGCTTATTTGCGGCATCTCGGAGAGAGAGGTTAGCGTTTCGCTTGAAACTACCGGCAACTCTCTTTGTCGTCTCAGCGGCTTCCGGTTTTCGATTTCCCCCCGATCCAGACTTCCTGGCTGTCGACAAACGTTCCCCAAACACTTTAATTACATTTGTAACGGTTGATTTGTCAACTTTTAGCGATTTTGCCAACTTTGCGTGCGAGTAGCTGGGATTTTCGCGATGCGCGAGCAAAATTTTGATACGCTGCTCTTCTTGCTTGGACGGCATTTTGAGAACTGAAGAGTGAATTCCAAAATCAAAATAGGAGCAACATTCTACACACACACACCTTCAAAATGAGGGGTGTTCAGGTTTTTTAAATGCAAAATTGAAAGAAATGCGTCAAGTTGATATTGACCAAATTTTGACCATATCACCCTTTAGTCAAAGTCTTCCATTCGTTAGTCATTTCAGGTGGATTAGAACAGGTTTAGGTTTAAGGTGGGCGTTGGCCAGATTTGGATTATTCAGATTCTCGTTATATGATCGTTAGGACATCAATTCAGCTTATCGTTTACCAAAACGAACCCTGCTGCAAACCCAACCCTCTTATCCAACATCCCAGTGATTTCTCGTGGAAGTGCAGAGGTGTTCTCGGCTTCCATCAAAGCGAGTGTCATGTCAACA